CATGATAAATGATCCTGCGAAGCCCCAAATTCCTCTGTGCTTTAAACCAGACCTGAGTTGTAATAAGATCATCTGGCTCGATGATCTCAGTGCTCCTGCCGAGTTATATTTGCTGAGGAGCTTGCTTTTATTACTGGGCGCAATACATTTGGCACCAGAAGAATATTTAACGTCCAAAAGTGGCTGAATGCTGCATGTTGTCAATGAAGTTACAGAGTCATCCTGGAACTTGCTCAGTATGGCTCAGCCAGGGTCAACATCACACCACTGGAGCAACCTGTAACATGTGTGTCACTGCAACTTTGTGTTAGTTTTTTCCCCCCTTTCCCCCCAAAATGATGAGCATGCCCATTTGTTTCCAGGAAAAATACTTGGAAGATACTGTGTGAACTTTACTGTTATGACTCAGCCTGTGTTTCCTGACTCTTCTCTGAATCAGCTGATGATTTTTTATCAGACGTTTGGGCCTCGGTGCGTTGCTCATAGCTCTACTGCAACACTACTACTGCTTCTCTGAGCCACACTACAAAGGTGTTGCTGACTTTGACCTTGAAAATGTAACTTGCTGAGTCACATCTTAAGTAGAAAGTATATCCGTTTTAGAAATGAAACAGACATAACTGACTTCAATCTCTGGTGACCCAGAAAGTTTTAAACTTTGTGTCATCAGTCACAAGACGAGACACAAACCTTCAAAGTCAAACACAAACGACACAAACGCGGGGACACGAACAAAATAGCGGGAGAGGACACAGGTAGGGATAATAGAAAAACTAAACACAAGTCTTGAACCCTAAGAACTAATACAAAATGGAAAAAAAATAATAACAACAAACTCAAAACTCTTTTCCAGCGACCCAGGACCTCGACAGCTCTAAAACAGAGGTGTCAAACTTAAGTTTTAACTTCTTTTCTTCTCATATTAGGTTTAAAAGTGCAGTGAAACTTCTGTACAGTGACAGAAAAAAGGAACTTCACTTGTCTGGCAGTCATTAAAGCTGTGTGTGGCTCACGATGCAATTTAACGTTTGCAAT